CCCCTTCCTGCTGCTCCACCCCATCTTCCTCCCGCCCCTCCCCCGCCGCCTCCGCCTCGTCTCCCTTTTCCAGGAACCTCCTTCGCGCACCTTCAGTGACACGAGGCCGCGCCGCCCCCCAGGTCCCCGCATCCGCCTCGGGTGCCCAGAGCCTCCTGCGCCCCGGGGGCGGGGGGCTCTCTCGGGGTTTCCCTGAGCCCTGAGCGCGCTCGGCGGCCGAGGCTCCGGGACGCACCGCCCGCGGGGCTGGCCCCTGGGGTCTGGGGCAACCGGGGTCCCAGCGGGTTTCCGCCGGGCGAGTCCCCCTCTCGGCTCCTTCCCAGGCGCGCCGCGATCGCGGGTGAGCCCAACTCCGCGGATACTGGGCGCTCCCGTCTGTACCAAGCACCGCGCGCCCCCCTCTCCCCAGAGGCCGAACCCCGTTCCCTGGACGCGGGTGCCCGGGCCCCAAAATGTTGCCCCAACTCGCTGGGGCCCCGAGGGGTGCGGACGCTGCTTTGGTGAGGGACTCGCACAGTCTCTTCAGGCAGGCGTGCGTTTCAGGCGCCGCCTATAGTTCCGCGTCCTACAGCTGCCCTCCGGAATGCCAAAAATAGTTTCCACTTTTCTTGGCCGAGCCCAGGCCTTTTGGCACCGCCGCAGAGCCTGCAGAAGTTGTAAAATTGTGAGTGAACCAGTCAGGAAGTGGGCGGTCAGTGTTCCTACTTTTCAAACAAAGCGCAAAGGCAGACCCTTCTCCGAGTGGTCGTGGGCGCGCGGGCCGCCTCCTGCGGGGTCTTGGGCGGGGATTCTCCGCCCGTGAAACTGTTCCTCGGGGAGAAACGCGGCTTCCCCACCCGCCAGGAGGGCACCAGACGCCGGAGGCGGCCTTCCGATGTGAAAGAGGTTTTCTGGATACGGGTAATTTCATTCTTCAGTGAGTCAGTGGAAAAAACTTGGACCCTGAAGCCGTTTTTCACATCTGGCCAATATCTAATGCTTGTACTGTGCTCTGCCCTCAGATCTTAATTGCTTTTTAAGAAGAGCAATGTTTGAGAGCTTGTAGAACAAAAACGGGCCCTGCACAGAGCCGAGTGTGGCACCGCCAGGGCAGCACAGGCCAGTGACACGATAGCTAACACTGTCGTTTGCAAAATGCTGCCCCTTTCGCTCTCCTGGGTTTCTGCAGTTTTCAGAATGTTCTGCAGTGACCGTGTCATGTGGGCCACCCATTCTGTGACACAGGCAGGGTGACGCCAAGGGACCAAGTCCCGGTAGAACGAAGCAGATCACCGTGACATGGTCATAGCCGCTTCACAACTGTGCAAACCCAGTTCCATGGGAGGAGGTGCCCATCGCTGCCCGTGGGGACACCTGGGCTGGGCAGACTAGTCCCCGTGTGACCAGTGCTGGCTGGGGGCCGTTTCTCTGGTGCCAGTCCCTTGGAGGGCACAAGTGCAGAGGTAGTGGTGATGCACAGGAGGCTTGGGGAGCGGACAGTCCGAAGGGGCGCCCTGGGGAGATGTAGGGCGTGAGCGAAAAGGTCTCTGGGGTCCTGTCCACCTGGGAGGGTGCAGTCATGTTGCAAATTCCGCTCGTGCGGAAATATTTAATTCACTTTCAGCTTTTCTCCCAGGTCTCTGCTCTCATGATATAGTACTACTATTTTCTATGAAAAATTATTTGGTAGAAATTGGAGACTTAAAGTGGCCCCCAAAGTTCGTGCGGCCATCTAACCATCACATCATCCCTTTGCTTTAGCCCCCCCACCCCCTAAGATGGTTGAAGCCAGTGGCTGGAAAGGTCTCCAACCTCCCTCCCTCAGAGTTTCAGGGCGTTGTCCGAGCTTGGCATGACGCTACACTGTTGTGATTCGAGGTTGGGCTTCAGAAAACCATGATCTGAGATCGCCTTGGGATTGAGGTTTGGTGTGACCCCGAGTCAGGCCGACGAAAGCACACGTGTTCTGGAGTGGGGCACCCAGGGCCTGGAGTCCTTCCTCGCCGACCCAGCCTGGAGCACCAGGCATGTGCAGTCGGCTCGGGCGCCTGCGCGTTGAACATCACACTGTGTCCACACTACAGTGGAAGTCTGTCACCACGAGTCAGAGGCTAGCGTTAAAACTGCCTTGCCTTCCTGTTTTGTCATCCCCCACTGGGGTCCTGGCCCTCTGTCCCCCACCCAGCCCCTTTCTGTTCCCTGCAGTGTCCACTGCGAGGCCATGGGAATGCGCTCTTCAAAACTGACACCCACCCCACAGCGCCGGCCACTGCAAAGCCGCTGAGTTCTCCCAGACTGCTGGCCATGTGACAGGAAACGCTGGTGCTGGAGGGGGGGCCTGGCGATGTGGGCTGGGGGGGGGCCTGGAGACTGGCCTCAAAGCAGCGGGGCCCAGGGAGAGTTCCCCCTGCCCTGGGGGCACTGCCTGCCAGCCACACAGCTGTGCCAACACTCCTCACTTTTCTGGTGCCCACTATGTTTGGGCCACATCTGACTCCCGCCTCATGGAGCGCCCGGTGTGCGGGCTGCATGGGCACGGGCACATGGACGCCCGTCGTCAGGCCCATGTCCACACTGGCAAAAGGTCCCAGGGTTTCCGCTTCGTCCCCTGGAGCCTGGCGCCCTGAATCCCGGCTTCCCTGCTCACCCTCCCCAAGCGAGGCTGTCAGGTGAACTTAACTTGGCGCAGGTGGGCTGAGGTAGAAAGGGCGCAGACCCAGCGGGGCGGTCAGAGCGGGCCCTTGACGCGGTCTTCTCTGGGCTCACCGCAAGGCCCCTCCTTCCGGGGAGTTTGGCCACTTCTTGGGGGAGTGACGCAGGGGCTCAGCACCATGAAGGCGGCCTCCCGCCCCACCTGCCACCTGTGCAGGATGCCTGTGCAAGCCGGGACAGCAGCCTGGGGACAGCAGTGCATGTCGGGGCCTTCGGCTTAAGTGAAACAAATCACCACTTTACTTGAAATGCCTGTTGTTATAGGCCACAGGCTTTATTTATCAGAGCTCAGGTGCCGTTGAAAAGTACCATAGGAATATTTTCAAATTACGGAGGTATCAGTATAGCAGTCCGCCTTCTCCATGGGTTTGCTTCCGTGGTTTCAGTTACCCGTGGTCAGCCTCAGTCTGAAAATATTAAATGGAAAATTCCAGAAATCAACTATTCATAAGGTTTAAATTGCACGCTGTTCAGAGCAGCGTGATGAAATCTTCCTCAGTCCCGCTCCGTCCCCCGGGACGTGAGTCACCCTTCTGTCCAGCCTTTTGGCAACTGGCTGCATATGCTTCCCGTCTCCAGCTCTCAGTCATGTGGCAGCGACTGGGCCGTCAGGTCTTCAGGTCTCCCTTATTCCTTTTAACAACGGCCCAGACTGTGATGCGGCAGCTCGGGTCCGCCCAAGAGAAGCCATGCAGAGCCTCCTTTCAGTGACAAGGTGCGTGCAGCCCAGTAAGCTGTTGTGAGACCACATGCCAATCACTTTCATTACAGGATGTGACAGTCGTATCTCATTGTTAGTTACTGTTAACCTCTTACTGGTTTATAAATTAGACTGTGTCATCGGGCTGTATGTCTAGGAGAAAGCAGCACATACATGGTTTGGTTCTGTCTGCGGTTTCAGGCACCCACGGGGGTCTTGGAACCCATGCCCATAGGTCAGGAGCGACGACTAACTTGTCTTTATGAGTATTTCCTTCTACGGCTAAATACCTGGTGGGGCTGTGCCACCAGGGAGGTGTGGGCAGTGAGCTCTAGACGCCGGTGTGCGGAGCTCCGAGGACACCCTGCAGTGTTCCCAGGAAGCCGTGCATGTGACATGGTGGGACATTCCCTCAGGGACTGGACCCCGTGTGGCCACAGCCTTTACTGCTTTACCGTTTGCACACTTGGTTTGAAAGCTGCGTCTGGAAAGTTAGAGGCTCGGCCACGCCACTGTCCATGTCAGAAGCCTTCTTTCCCTCCTTTGTGTCTTCAATGATGGAGGAAATAGTTGTACCGAGAACGCATCCCTCCCTGGGACTGTGAGGCAGACACAGCTCTGACTTCACGCTGGCTTCATCGGGGACCACATGCCATCACGGTGACGCGGCTGAATGCGTCACCTGGCTTTCTCTATTTAGCCCTACCTAGTGACAACTGGCAGCTGTTGGCTTCCCTTCAGAGGGCCACAGAGCAGCAGCAGCGATGTAAATGACTGGGTACATGGTGCACATCCTGGGAGCTGTGTGAACGGACCTGAGTGTCCTGTATCCCCACCCCCCTGGGACCCCGGGGGGACCTGCTGTGGCTGGGGGCAGACTGGGGCCCCGTGCCTCAGGGGAAAACAGGGCGTTCTTATTACAAGAAGTGGGTGTTGTGCAGACCGGACAAGGCTGGCCACCGCGCCCACACCCACTAGGGGTCAACACCAAAAATGTCAACAAAAACAGTGACACGTTCCAGCCCCCGGAGCCAATCTCGTCATCAGCTTGGAAAGGTGATGGACACTGGTGGTTGCACATGCGTCACGGTGCTCCGCCGGCCAAGTGGGCGTGACTTTCCTTCTGACGGGAGATGCCAGGCTCTCGCTTGCGCCCTTGACAACAAGAAACGGAAATAGATGCCGTGGGTGAACGTGCGGGGCCAGCGGGCCCCCGGGGACCCCACAGCCTGAGCCCAGGCCTG